AACATCTATGATCTTGGCCGATGCCATCCACGGCGACACGAAGGATCTTTACGATGGCTTTCAGAAGCTTGTCGAACTTGATAATGAAACGTTCCTAGAGTGGCTCGATAAAAACAAGACCGAGATGGACAAGTTCTTCTATGGCTCAATGACTAAATCGTGGGAAGACTTCGCGCAAAGCCAAAACAAAAAGACTGAAGAGACCTCTCAGAGGCGAATCGCCAAGCGCAAGGAGAAGCTGAAGCAGTGGCAATCTGATGAGCTTGCCGCAGATAACATCTGGAATCACCATGAAAACTCAACAAACCACTGGAGATCCAACATACACGCTTCTGAACGCATCAAGCATCAGCGCGTCCTTCAAGACCAGCAGGATAACGCTACTTACATGGCAACAGTTTTAGCCAAGCTTGACCACCAACTCAAAGGCCCGTGTGGTCTGTTCGAAGACAGTCCACCTGCCAGATGGCGGCTCGACGAAACTGAGGGCCGTGATCGAAAGCGACTACGTATCGTCGTCGATAACACTAGCAGAGAGCAGTCATATCAACCCAAACGTAAAGACACAGATCCACGAGAGCGCCCCAGGTTGGATACCACTGTGCCAGCAATTTCAGCGAAGGAAGCTGTTGGTGCCACCCCTGTCAAGGCACGATCAACTAGGTCTGCCTCTTCCGTGAGTGCATCGGGTGATCCGACGGAAGAACCGGAATCTGCTAGCGACGATGACTTTGAGATGGTCGAAGCGATGTATGAAGATGAGGACGGCTTCGAAGACAAGAACCGCAAGGTCATGCGGAGCCTTAATCGCGGCGATCAGGTGCAGTACGTTTGCAATATCTCTCGGGTAGTCGGACTGGAAGCAATAGAGGGCCTCCTCATCGTAGGAAAAGACTGTCTTTACTTGCTGGACGACTTCTTCCAAAGGTCAGACGGCGAGATCGTACGCGTGTGGCAGGCACCACCCGATGAGCGCGACCCCTACGTTCAAGTCATAGCTGGAAAAGAAGCTGTCACTACCCGTCGCCCACCACCAAGGAGCCAAGAAGATGCAGTGAGAAATTGGAAGTGGACTGAGGTTATTAGTATTTCCAAGCGGCGCTTCCTTCACCGCGATGTTGGAATCGAAGTCTTCTTTGACGATGGCCGCAGCTACCTTCTCACAGCTGTCTCTGCCCAGGCTCGAAACGACATCCACTCCAGGGTCCTACAACGAGCTTCGCATGTCGCGAATCCGGACAAGCATGCCAACTCTGAGATATCCTGGCGCCTTGACTCTCTGCGCAACCCGGAAGAAGCACCACAGACATTTGGATCGCGCTTCGCATCAGCATTTGGTTCTGCTTCCGCTCATCCGGCGACCAAGAAATGGCTGAAAGGAGAGATGTCCAACTTCCATTACCTGATGTTCGTCAATACACTCGCTGGAAGGACGTTCAACGATCTGACCCAGTACCCGGTCTTCCCGTGGGTGCTATCGAACTACCACAGCGAAGAATTGGATTTGAGCGACCCGAGCAACTTTCGAGACCTCCGTAAACCTATTGGTATTCAGGATCCTAAGCAAGAGCACCTCATTAGAGAGAGGTTTAGCTCGTTTGCCGAGATGGGAGACGCTAGTCACGCCTTCCACTACGGAACTCATTATTCGTCCGCCATGACCGTCGCGTCGTATCTGATGCGACTTCAACCCTTCAGCGCAGCCTTCTTCCTCATTCAGGGTGGTACATGGGATCATGCTGACCGAATGTTCTACTCGATCCAAAATGTCTGGGACTCGGTGTCCGCGAAGAATATGGCCGACGTACGCGAGCTTACCCCAGAGTTCTACTTTCTCCCTGACTTCTTGACCAACGTTAATGGGTACAACTTTGGTTTGCGATCCGATGGCTCAAAGATCGATAACGTTCAATTACCTCCGTGGGCCAAGGGCGACCCAGCCATCTTCATAGCCAAACAGCGTGAGGCTTTGGAAAGTCCTTACGTCAGCCAGAACCTGCATCATTGGATCGATCTCATCTTCGGTTACAAGCAGCGAGGCGAAGCAGCAATCGAGGCCGCCAATGTGTTCCACTACATGACGTATCAGGGTGCAATCGATCTCGATTCGATTACTGACGAGAAAGAGCGCGCACAGAAGATTAGTGTTATCAACAATTTTGGACAGACGCCTCCACAAGTTTTCCAGCGACCGCACCCACAGAAAGAAAACGTCACGAAACCTACCAAGCTCGACACGTCTGCGGAGAGCTTACATCGGGTTCCCGGCACGCTACTGGAGTCTAACGATCGCATCTCATCTCTCAACTACATCAGCAAGAGCGACAAGCTCCTTTGCTCAGCACCATTTCGGCACAACATACCGCCGCATCATGATCGTTACATGGAGTGGGGTTTCACGGATGGCAGCGTGCGCTTCTATGATTCACACTCCAAGAAGCTAATCGGGCTGTTCGAGCATTTACACTCTGGCCAGCTGACAACTTCCCTCTTCGTTGACGGTAGAACCCTCATCACTGCCGGAACAGACTGTACACTCGCGATTTGGAACATGAGCAAAGCTGAAAGAGGCCACATCGACCTACAGAATGCTACAACGCTATTCGGCCACAAGTCATCCGTCATCACACTCGCCGCAAGCCGCGCCTTCTCTGCGTTCCTATCCGCCTCACTCGACGGACGTGTGTTCCTCTGGGACTTGAATCGAAACGAGTTTGTTCGCGAACTCGGTCTAGGCCCACGGCAGAAGCGCAACCCAGTACCGATTCAAGCGGCTAGGATCAATAGCGTCACAGGACACATTGTACTTGCTTGCGGAAGCCGACTCATCGTCACGACACTCAACGGTGCAGTGCTGCTTGACGAGGATATCTGCGACAGCGAAGACGACGCAGATAGTATCACAGCTGTCGCTGTGTATGAGGGTGTGGGCAATGAATGGTGTGAGCGCGAACTCATCTTCACTGGACATCGTAGGGGTGTCGTCAAAATCTTCCATCTAACGCCAACACCCCCGACCATCACCACTCCAACCTCAGTACCCAGCAAATGGTCTGCGAACCTCATCAATGTGCTCAATCACAGTGATCCAACGTCTCCCTCGTCTGCGGCACCCATCACGTGTATATTGCCGATGCCTCACCATGTCTATACCGGCGATGAGGAGGGCAGAGTGGTAAGTCAAGAACCTTTTCATCCTTCGTACGCACGACCCGCTAACGTCTCTCTGCAGTACGAATGGGATTGCGTGCACAGACATCATTGATCCTCCATAAGCGAACTCACGAGCATGTGAGTAAGTGGCTTTTGGTATAGACATGGCATGGTGTTTTGGATGCTTTTCGCATTGGCGTAAATAGCTTGATATGTGGCATTAAAAGGTGCATTGCGGATACTGAATAGACAAAGTTCTCGATACACCCTCTTACCATTGTCGATGCAACGCAGTCTCGTTCCATCCAACACACTATCTTGAGTCTAGCGGAACTATTTACGGCTTTCGGATAAAATCTCCGTTCGCTAGACTGATGATTGATCAAATGATGCAGGTGCAGAGGCAGTACGCGTGTTGCGCTCGTTGGCGTGTCGTTTTGGTCTTGTGATCATGCTTATCTGGCGTTTGCTTGGCGTTGCTTGTTTGGCTAGGAAATTCTGCGTGTGCTTGCATTGCTGGCGACCTGATCCTCCTTGCATTACATTTCTGACTAACTGACTAACTAAAACTACGTGGCTGGCGAGATCATGATGCTGGAGGCTTTGCGTCTTGAGGTATCGAAGCTAGTATGATGTTGTTGGTGCATCTGTTGCTAGACAGTCGCCATATCCGGTGTGCCTTTTCAGTGATTGATTATTCAGCACAAGGGTGCCTCAGATGACGTATCCGTGCACGTTTTTTGGAAGAGTCATTATCCCGTCTTGACATACGTTGGTGCGTGTATGTTGGGTGTGAAGGGTCTAATGTTGAGGGCTCGTTGCAATGATCAGCTTCAACGCCAAGGTCATGCCAAGTCCTGGAGTATCACACTCTAGTTGAGCCGCAAACACTATAAGGGTCTCGTGCCCCTTCTAGATCACTGGAAATAAGCCAAATATCGTCTGCCTTGAGAGTTGGCCTTCCTTAATTGCGGGGTTCAGGGAAAGGGTACACATGAGCTAGGTCCGTAAGCAGCTAGCTCGTGGGGGAATGCGATCCGCACCTGCCCGAACACAGCATGACCCCACTATTAGGCCGCGTGCTTTAAGCCAATCCCAACGGATTAGCACGTCATTTTTCGCCTTAAGTCTGGGTCGTCGTCGCGCCGCCGTCGCTCTTTCGCAACTCCAGAACGACGCGACATCCCGAGCGACAAACCGAACGATACATGGAGTCGCCGGAAACGCCCGCCGTCCCAGAGACTGCTGCTAAGAAGCGCAGAAGACCAGTCAACGGTACGCGACATGGCCTCTTTATATGGCGATAGGTGTGCTAACAGAGTTTCGACAGCCTGCGCTACTTGCCGTGCGAGAAAGGTAGGATCTCATGGTCTCTTCTATACCATTTCTCTCTTTAAAGACCCATACCAAGGCAATGGGTATCCTACGAGGGACCACCAGGTTGTCGTGATGGTCATAGTTCTGGCGTCGGGGCCTAGGACATCCGGAAAACCATAAATCAGGGCCGAACGTAGCTGACAATCATCTAGGTTAAGTGCGATGAACGCCCAAACGGCTGTCTGAACTGCGAAAGGCTACAGCTAGACTGTGTGCAGAATGGCGGTGTTTCCACCGCTGCGAAGAGACCAAGCACGGCGTACGAGCCCGTTGTAGGCATCAAGCGTAAACGTACATTTCGATCCTGCATTCCTTGTCGAGACTCCAAAGTCAAATGCTCCGGCGAACGACCGAACTGCATAAGATGCCAGCAGCGCAGAACCTCATGTGTATACGATGCTGAGCAGGTGGAGCCAGCCTGGGTACAGAGCATTGCGACTCCTGCCTCAGACGCGCACGCCGATTCCGTAATGATACCGCCACACACTCCCCGGGATTCTCGAGAGCCTTCAAGGATACTCGGCTCACTGTCGAATAGCGAGCCTGCTGTAGCGGGGTGTCCGCCGGGCCTACTATGGTATGCTTTACGAACTCACTGGCGTGCATCGGACTTACGAATATGCACAGGTTGTTTTCCCAGCAGCTGCCACCCAGAATCAAACTTCATGCGTTGTTAGATGCTTACTTCAACAACGTCCACCCCATCCGCGTATTTGCGTTCGAGCACAAGCCATCGTTCATTCGAATGCTAGACGAAGGACAGCTCGTGGATGCCTCCGATCAAGCCCTCTTGCACATAATGTGTGCATTGGGTGCTCGATTTTACGCTCTCGACTACAGTGAGTCGTTCTCGCCCTTGACGAAAGATCTGATCCAGTCAGCCGGAAGCCAGTGGGCTAAAGTCGCGGAAGAGATGTTCTTCGCTGATTACAGCACCATCTCAATTACCAAACTCAAGGTCTTGGTCTTGCTTCACGACCAGGAAGCTCGCAATGGCAACTATGCTGGGTCTTTTCTTCTTACCGGCCTTGTCATACGTATGGCGCATGCTTTACAGCTCAACAATGAAGTGTCACCAGATGTGCTTTGTAAGGAATTAGGAGGAAGTCCAAACGAGGTTTCTGTGCGAGAGTCGCGTAGAAGACTCATGTGGGCGTGCTATATGATTGATGTCTGGGCTGGTAGTGGCGTCGACCACCTCACTATACTCAATGAAAGAGACCTCAAGATTCAGCTTCCGTGCAACGAGCGTCAGTTCTCACTACAGATCCCGTGTATTACGGAGCGGCTCGAGAGGGGCACACTACTGGAACTCATGTCTCCAGAGGACATTCCAGAGAAGCCGGCGGATAACTTGGGCATGGCTGCGTACTATGTGCGCATTGTCAGTATCTGGCGACGTGTTCTTCGGTGAGTGTGGCTAGGATTAGCTCGCGAGTCTTGATTGCTGACTTGGATTAGCTTTGTGAAACACATGGACGAAGAACAACCGCCGTGGCTTCCAGAGTCAGGATTCGCCGTCCTCATTGAGGACATACAGTCGTGGAAACAAAGCCTGCCATCCTGGCTAGACTTCTCCGCGGACAACATCTACATTCGGCGCGAGACACATCAGCTAGGTGCCCTCCTCCTCATCCACTGCATGTACCATCACGTTATGTGCGACGTCCACAGGATCGCTCTCCCTGACCTGTTCAAAAACCAAGAGCCGTTCGTCTTCCCTACTGATCGACAGGCGTTCGTAAGTCATCTGCAAGATGTCTGCTTTGAGCATGCGCAGCGTATGTCGGTCCTAGTCTCACACATACTCCAACACGGGGTCAAACACTTTGCGGACTCCATACTGCCGTCATTCGTTTACAACAGTAGTCGCATCATGCTCTACTATATCGCTCGGATTCTGGACGTATCAAAGCCCGACGCAGGAACTGTAATTGGTCGTACAGTCGAGTTAGTGCAGTACAACAACCAGGCGTTACGGGAGATGGCGTTCATGTACCCGCTTGCTGAATCGTTATGTATCACCTCCGAGCGCTGGCTGGAGACTGTACGCGACAGTCTGGCTCGTGGTCACTCTGCTGACTACATTGCGCCTCAGGATCCATCAGAGAATGAAGCGCGGCGCATTGTCGGCGCGCCTGCACCGATGGCTGGCACTCCTAGACAGCGAAATGCGGCCATCTCAGTTATTCCTCCTGTCGAGGAGATACTGTCAGCAACTTCACCCTCGACTCTTCGCACGGCTACTACTCGCTATCCTTTCTCAGCGCCTACCACTGGTCACGGTTCTTCTACTGTAACATCAGGCCAGGCCATGACGACACCATCTGAGAATGCAGTAGGGACCATGTACTCCTCCCCCAGCGCGCCAACTGCTTTCGAGCAGCCCATGTTCAACCTGGACGACCTCCAGAATTTCTTCGGATGGGAAGCAAGTGATGATGAGAACGCGCAGTCCACTGGCTTCGAGGGCTTTGGTCCGCTAGGCTGGGCAAATAATTTCTCCATCATGTAAGTGAGTATTGTATTCGAAAGTAACCTGCTGGGCGTTTGGGCACGGTCTTTCTCATGGTATACCTCCTCTCTTCCGCTAGCATCGACGCGGTAGGTTCTTGGCCATTTTGGTTCGTTACTAGAATGATTCCTCTTTAGGAGCAATATTAACTTTGTAAACGCACTTTGACTGGCCATAGTGGGTAACTAGCCCACTAACATCGTGATTTGGACAGGAAGGTGCCGCTTACCCGTACAGCATGGTCCAACAGTGGTACAACTAACGAACACCGAAATACATGGTAACCGCCAAGCTCAGAAGCCGGGTATGTGGTATTTTTCCGCTCCACCAAGACTCTTGGTAAATGCATTTATATCTACCAGACTCAGACACACCGACTTGCACCACCACGGCACGCACCTGAACATGAGTACCACCACACCATCAACCAGCGCATTGAGCGCAAAACAAGCTGCCCTCAACAACTTCGTACAAAAGAACTGGCACTATTGGCGCTATCTTTACATACCCGGGACCTTCCTCTTCATGCTTGGTTCACTCAGCCTCGCGTATGCGGTACATCTGGATCGAGCGCGCCCGCACGAGCTCCCCAAACCTCGGAGGATATCCTCGTTCCTGTTCTACGTGCTGGGACATCAGCTACTACTATACAGTATTCTGATTTGTTCGTTCTGGTATATGCTCAAGGATGAGCGTCCTGGATCGGGGATCGCCCGCGCTGATGCCGACAAGAATGCCATGGGGTCGATCAAGCAGAACGACGGCGCCTTGGGTAATGGCCCCGACTATCTCTTGGAAAGACATGCAGTCCCATCAAACAATGCTCGCTCTATCCCGCTTATTAGGTCTGCTATCACTGTCGCAGCTTCGGCTTTGGGCGTCGTCGCCGTGGTGACCCGATATAAATGTCTAGACAGCGAGTGCCCATTTCAACGGAAATGCTACGTAGTGAGCATTGTATGCATTACAATCGCTTTTTCAAGGTATTTTTTGGGTTTTCTCGAGTACGTTCGCAAGATTCGGACATTTATGAGGAATAAACGTGGACTGGACCGGAGGATAAATCCGAGCTAAGGGTGGGTTGAATAGGGCACGCGAAGAAGGTAGGTGCGAGAGTGTTGTGGTGTATCTAATACTTTATTCATTGGAACTTCATAAATGTTACTTGCCCTGCAAGCCCATATGCCACTCTTCACGTAACGAGTGCTCAGCTACTGAGAAGACGTCCAGCCATGCTTCGCTTCCGGTAGCCATGCCACGTCCGTATACATGTTTATCATGGATACTGTTCTGGACAATATCAGTTTTCGTCCAATATGTGCAGGCGACTTTTCCATCTGGCGATATGGCGTCTATCATGAGGACTTTGTTCTGCTCTTGCAGGACTGGAAATTCTGCTTGGAACCAAAGGCCTCCCTTGTTGACATAGCCTGGAGTATCTGCGCCTGGTCCAATACTGGCGTCCATGACTGTCGCAAATACTTTGCATAGCGACGCGAAGGCTTTGGACATGTTGGTGTAATACTGTGTCCGCCAGGTCTCGTTGTTCATGATACAGCGTAGTGGATTGGTAGTTCGGGCTTCGCTGTTGTAGTACTTTTTTGGCCAGACATCCTGTGCTTGTTTAGCAGAAGCCAGAGACTATGCAGCGAATATGCAAATACCCAGATCGTTGTCATAGGAGACTCCCCATTTGGTCTCGTTTTCGCGTAACGGCGCGCCGTCTCGCTCAACCCGCGCGTGTAGAATAGACAGAGATTAGGTTCTGGTCGCAATGTCGCTTCCGTTTGGAACAACTCGATGGTGTATTTGTCGACGGAATCCCAGGTCGCCTCTGAGCTGTGGGGTTGCGTGCATTCATCTTCCTTGAGCTCTAGCGGGGCAGCTTTGATGATGAGAAAGAGTTGGTAGAGTGTTATGACAAAGGAAATGAGCTTCATGACGATGTTGATGTGTGACAGATCGTGGGTGAGGTCTCCCATGCAGCAGGGTGGAGCTGTATCTAACGTAGGCGTAAGCGGCCCCCAACGCCTATCTATGGACGAGGCTGAGCGTCAGGCGTGCATACTCGGCGCCTGCGCCCTGGCGTCAAGTTTGCACATTTTGTGAGCTTGAACATCGAGGATACTTTCGCACCTCACACGACCAATCTCACCTCTTCAGTGATCTGGTATGCCTCCGATGCACGTGTTTCAACAGCACCTAGATGGTCAACCTTGGAAGGCTCACTCGGATCAATCGTGGACCGCGCAATACCCAGCCAGCGATTTCGCCAAGGACAACATCTCAACGGTGTGCCATGCACCTTCCACCTTGAATCACGACTAGATAGGAAGTTGAAACACTTTGACTACAGAAATGGTAAATGGTGGGTGGTGGGTAGAAGACAATAGGTGGCAAATTGCAGCAAGGTGGTAACGAAGCGCCTGCACAGCCCTGCCCAGGCGCTAAATCGGGTGCTCGGAGTAGAGCTAGCCCGCCCCCGCGATCGTCCTAATTGTTTCGAGCATTTACTCAATTCTTACCTAGGTAGGTTCGCTTCGGATGCGCACCCAAGTGGACTATCACAACACTACGTCCCTAATGTCTCCTAAGAACCGTTCCCAAGCAGATGCTCCCTTGAAAGGTCTAACACTCTCCGAATAAGCGCCTCCGAGAGCTCCTCTTTCTCGTATTTTGAGATTGCAAGAGCAGTCCTGAGGAGGTTCTTGATCTCGCGACCGTTGAGTTCGTACCTGCCGACATTAGCAACACCGCGTAGTGGTTGCGAGTACTACCTAGGTACTTACTCTGTCCCGAGACGCGACAAAGTCGCCTCGTCCCAACGTCCAGAGCCGACTTTATTCAGGAAGTTTCTCCAGATGTTAGTACGACGGATGCTATCGAGCGCTTCGTATCGGATAGTCAGATGAATCCGAGATTCAAATGCCGTGTCAAAGTCTTCGAGACGGTTCGTTGTCAGGAACATGGTGCCTTTGTAATATTCGATGAGGCGAAGGAACACTTTGCGAATTGTTAGTCGTCAAGAAACTATGAAAGGCCGATCCATTCATCGACATCCTAGGTCTCGCTGGAGGCTTACCTGAAACATAAGCGTTTCGCTTGAGATCGGTTGCGGTCCTTTTAGCCAGGAACACGTCTGCTTCATCGAGCAATATTATGGCGTCCCACGCCTTTGCTCGAGTGAATATGGTACGAAGTTGGACATCCGTCTGCTCGATGTCTGTACCCAACTCGCCACTGGTTATGGAGTACATCGGACACTGAATGTGCTCAGCGACAGCCTCTTGACGCCGTTAGCTATTTTTTCCGACCTCGCTCAGGCTCCCACGTACCTGCTGTCAGAGTCTTGCCGAGTCCCGGCTTGCCATAAAGGAGGAAGACAAGACCCTTGCCCTTGCCCGGTACGATATCCTGGTAATTCAGCATCGATTTGGACACGCCAGATTGGGTATAGCTTACATCGAAGTCATCTTGGTTTTGATGTGCCGAAACCATCGCGAGGATTGCAGTCTTCATTCTAACATCCAGTTCGAGGCTCTCAAATGCATTTGGATGCCATTCAATATCCCGTACTTCATCGACCAAGAAGAAAGCCCATATCTTTTCTACAAATGAGTATCCTCTTACTCTAGCAGGGGTGAGAAGGGCTTGGTCATCAGAGATTTTGTAAGCCGGGGTGTTGAGGTGAGACATGAATCTGTCTTCTTTATCACTGGCCTTGCGCGCCATACTTTGATCCCCGATCATGTCGTAGTCTTTGTTGACTGTGTATTTATAATTGTATTCCATTGTTGCGCCCGACGTCGAAAGAAAGGTGGCAAGACGGGGTGTAGCTTGTGCGTGTGTCTCGTAGTCTAACATGATCCGTCCTGAAACCTGAGTACGTTAGTGATCATCAAAGCCTTGATGCTGAACTTACATGGCCTGGTACTAGTTTGTCGACATGGACGATGCGCTCATGAGGAGGCTCCGACCAAGCCAATGCTGCTCAGTCTGTTAGTCAGTACGAGACGAACAGCTCGAACACTGACCAGTGTAATGCATGTGAGTCTTCTCCAAGATTTCTCTCCACTTCCTTCCTCGTTGTATCAGCCTTTCTCTTAGGCTTTCCGTATTTTCCTTCTTGTGAAATCGTATTGGGTACACCACCAAGGTATCGATTTTGACCGGAGTAGGAAATTCCCTGATCTTAAGTTTCTCCGTACACATACCGAAACGTGTGCCATTATAGTCCCATCTTTTAGCCTCAATCTTGAAATACGGCGTCAGGTCGTCGTCGGTGCCTTGGCGCACTTCTGGCACGTATTCGCAAGTGTCAACAGTGTAGCACTCGTCGAAGTGATCGCCTTGAGCGATAATCACCTCTTCCGGCCTGAAAAGTGTCCAGAGCAGAGGATAAGAGACCATTTGGTAGGGTTCAGAATGTCCGTAATCACGTTCGGTCTGCGACAGGTTCTTGTCCATAAACTTGATTAGCACATCCAAGTGCTCTTTCTCGACCACTGTCCTCGATTTGTCGGAAGCATAGCTTCGAAGTTCCTTGCGGTAATGAAACAGTGGTGCGTACGGCTTGGAGATGGCGACGAAATCAGAATCGAAGTTCATCGAGGGATGATCTCCCAAGACAATGCGGAAGGCCCTGAGTATCTGGGGTGATCGAACTTCAAGATCTGTCGATTGTCGTTCGCCCGACATGTTAAATCTTCTCCGCAGAACCAGGATGTAGTCCTCATATCGGGCTGCGACGCTAGATTTAGCTTGATGTCGGTTGGGGGTCAGGGTGATCAATGGCGTATCTCCCCATTGTTCTTTCTCGCGAATGTCTACCAGATCAACCTTAAAATCGAAAGGCTCCTCTTCGTGTGCTGAAACTGGTTGCGTAGCTGCGGTCGAGTCGTTGGCAACATCCTGGAGGATCCCCCGTCGGGCGGCGCTGTAATCTTCCACCGACATCGGAGAGTATCTTTCTTTTCAGATAATGATAACAAAGTACGCTCTGAGCATTTGGAATTGATGCGACAACTCAGGCTTCGTATGACACATGGTAGCATGGTAGGGCTCTCACGTACTATTCTCCCCAAACTCTATTGCGGCTGAGCGACGCAAGTACGCACAGCAACTTCCACATATTCAAATCATGCAGGAAAGATCAAGGCGCAGTTCGTAACTCAGACCACGTCATCATGAAGGTGTATCGAAAGAAGTTAGATTGATGCAGCCTTGTCCCCTTCAAGGTCATCAAATGTAATGCAACCTATCAAAATTACGGTCTCAAGACCTTACTAAGACGGACGAATAAATTTCGCCTCGTTGAGGTATGTCAGCAGCTGAACTGCAAGGCAGAATCGTCCTGCAGGACAGGATCTTCGCCAGCCCGTGCCGAGATGGGTTAGCCTCATGCAGCCTCGTCGCTCAACGAGCAGGTTGCAAGCATTCTGATGCGCAGCCTCATGCTTGAATAGCCGACATTGAATCTTGAGGGTCTAGACTACAGAGCCAGAATGCGGATGATCACTGAAATTCGAGCTTACGCGCATGATTACCACCGCTCAGCCCCTAGACTTGCAGCTCTAGCATTGTGAGGCTTTCGGGTTTAGCAAACCCATACCCGTCGCATGAGCTAGCCTGGGGCGGTCTGATACATCCACATCGTAGACTGTAAAAGTATCGCTTTGCGACTTGCTGGTTGACGGATACCTAGGGCTGGGAACCTTGAAACCTTGGAAGCCATGAGCACAGAACAATCGCTCTTGTGAGATACACGCGCGCTGAACTTACGTTGAGAGACTGACTTCGTAGTGAGCGAGAAAAGCAGACCCCGCCACTGAAGCTTGGATACAACTTACCCGAAAAGCCAAGCAAGCGAGGAACTCTCTCCAGGAGCAATCATGAATTTACGTTCCAAGGGAAAAATGTCATGAAACGAGCGACCGAACATGAAGAATATAGCAAAGGTGGCATGCGCTTAACTGGGCTACCAAAATTCGACGATCTCAAGAACTACGGTATATCCACGAATACCGAAAAACACCTCTGGACATTGGAAATCCGACGATTGACAGTCGACGCTGCATCTGAAGATGCGCTCATATTCGACAGTAGCGGAATCTTTGACCGAACAGACTCGACTACATTTGAGAATCTCTCAAATCTTGCTGACCAAATTGCATGCAACTTTTCAATAGTAGTACACGATAATACCCTGCACGTACTGGAACATTGCCGTTGGATTTCGACCCTTTCGAATGCAGTCCGGAACTTCAAAGACGCCAGAACGCGACTCACCACAAGATATGAACAGGATGAAGAAAAGGTGAAAGCTCGTCGTCCCAAACTACTCGAATCCGCCGACGATAACCGGAAGGTATATTTCGCCCTCGTTGATTACATCACCAGCCAGGTTGCTAGGCTAGTGGTGCGCTCCGCAACAGGCGATTATTGGAACCATCACTCCCTGGCAATCCTAGCCAAATGGTCTGCGAAGCTGAAGATACTGTCTTATAACCCGGCTCAATACGCCTCTCTATCTCTAGCTGCTGCGGAAGAGCTACTAGAAAGAATGAACGATAGCAAGACTGAGGAAAACTTGCAGGTATTGAAGGTCCGCGCTACGGATGCGAAGGAAGAGGACAAGGAAGATATGGACATCAACTCGCAAGCCGAAGCTGACATCACAGGCTACTACTTCCAGGATCATTACGGGATGCAAGTCTTTCTATCACAGCTCTTCAACTACGCGGTTAATGCACTGTACGCATCTGAGAAGACTGGAAACCCGCCCAACTGCTTCGAAGTCTGCACATTGGCATATGAGACGGGCCTTCGACGAAGTCTGACTGTGATATCGAGCGATCGCCGAGGTGACGTAGCAGCGACCTCGGACGCTACACATGTGACCTGCAGCTATACTGCTTTTCAGAATCTGAGAAAGAATGTTGAACATCTCAAAGCGGGACGCCAACCGCCCCGCGATGATGCGCGTGACCAAACGCATATCCACTGTCAATACACCGAGGGCTCCGTATCAGAAGTCCACGACTTCCGTACATCACGCTTCGACGACATAGTTTCCATCATGATTCCTCTATCATTGACTGATCCGTTTGTCGCAATCGGAATGGGCCTGATGCTGGACTTTGCAACGGGCAACAGCGAAGACGAAGACCCCGTGCTACAGTTTGAGCGGAAACATTTTACCGCCAAATTCGTTGTTACGACTGCAGCGTGGGAAGATAGACAGCATAAGCTCAAGTTTACTAATGCTGCTCGTCAACCTGATCTGGAGGTTTTGTCGGTGTCTCAAAGCCCTTTGAGTAAAGCGATACGTGGTAAGGCTATTCCAACCTTTCGGATTGTTTGGGCTATACTGACTATCACAAGCTGGTACTAGTTTTAAGGACATCTTAGCAACACCCCCAGAACCGGGAACGCTTGATCCTCTATCATCAGGTGGTAGCCCTGGTAGCCTGAGCCAAGCCAATTTGGAGAAACAGAGGTTCGCGGAGACGCGCATGAACGAATGGATCATATCCGAGCTCACGGTGACGCTCAAGTGCCACCGCTACGTCTACACGATTCTCTGTTTTTGCGCCGTGCTCATATGTGGCGCAACAGCAGTTCCGTTCTCAGTGCAGAACCGCCTCAAGGGAGTCGATCCATTCAACATCACCACCTTCGCTTGGCTACTAGCTGGTTTCATCCTTGTGATAGCGAAATCACGCTATGTTTGCGAATGGCCGTGGCATGACTTCCTACGCGGACGCGTGGTTTGCAAGTCGATCAAAGAGATGGCTGACGTGACGGGTATCGACGATCAGATGATTTTGACGAGCTTACTACACAACGAGCGGGACACCACGCTCATTACCAAGGGCCCGTATAACGGCATGTTCGACCGGCGGGCCGAATCGGGGAACGAAGGATTCAGTATCGATATTCCGGTACACCTATCGACGATGCTTGCCAGCGGGTTTATTGTGTTGAAGGTTCTGTCTGTCAAAGGTGAAAGATTGATCTGTCTGGATGTAAGGAAAGGCTCGGAGTGGGGGTCTAGTGCGGCGATGCGACATCAAAATTCGGAGTTTTTGACGTGCACGGATTTAGATGATGATAGCGATGTCAACGAGGAAGTCCGGGAAAATCCTCACGGTACGGCTAGGAAGAAGATAATGAGGCTGAGTAGGATCCATTTCACGTGGACGAAGGTGCTGGGCGTGTATGTCAAGGATTCGTTGTTTGGTTGATCTGATGCATGGGTAATGTACGATGGAAATAAAGAGTTACGCACCATCAACCCAGATATAGCCTTGTCTTTGCGCTTAGACTTTCCGTTTTGTGGAGTGTATGGCGGAGTCGAAGGCTGAGGCAGTGAGGCGGCAGCGTCGGCTATCAACCCTGGAGATAAGAGATGATCACGTGCCGATAAGCGACCATCTGCAGCCAAGCTTCCTATCGACCAAGGTCTAGGAAGGCACTACACCTGGGCAGTACATTCGCTGCGTCACTTTCAACCCCGTGGCGACAGGGCGTTTCGCAAGAGGCAAATCGCAAACACCACGGCTGCCAAAACGAGTTGTTGCCATGAGCAGGTTCATCAGTGATAAGTATGTCCCCTAGTAACCATCAATCGCAGTCTCATCTCATGGCACAAGGATACCTAGGTAGCCTGTGTCCTCAAATATCGAAGTCATCGGGGGCTGGAACAGGCAGTAGTAGTACTATGTCGCCGCGCGGCACCCTCAACATCGACCCTCATGCCCTACTACAAGGACGCCCCGCCTGAAGGCAAGTCACTACACTACAGTCATTCCATGGTTCTTAATTTGTTCTGCCGTGTAGGTTGCTGAAGCGGTTTGCCTCGCCGTTGCCTCCTTCTACTAGCGCTGCCAACCCCTCGTACTATCCCGTCAACCGTTGCACGTCACGTCAAGCCACAATATTGAACTTGCGCGCCTTATCGCAGCACTCCAGGAGAGCTACTCCATGATCAATCGATTGTCTCTTCATCTGTCTACTGGTGAGCAGGGAAGCCACATTACTCGGCAGAGGGGAAAAAGCAATCATCACAGGCGCCATTGCCGCAGCACGCGCCTGAGGCTTTTGATTCTCCAGCGATTTGCCTGCAGGAGCAAGCACACCTTCCCGCGCAGCAGGAACTAGGCAGACTGTAAGGCTCAGTTGTCTATTACCGAAGGCTAAAGATGCAATACCCAAGCCAGATCTGTATTTATAAAGCCTTCTCGCCCGTCTCAAGGCTTATGTCTCTCTACATAACGTCATCAATACACACAGTTCTGAATATCTAGCCAGGGCATTTTGGCTCCGAGTGCATAGGTACCACATCACTTCATACTGCCTTCCTTTCTACGTTTAGCCATGGCTACACAGAAGATCATGACGGCTGAAACTTGTTATAACGCCAGCACAGCCCTCACACCAAGTAAACGGGAGATCCGCCTCATCGAACTTCTCCCGGATCTACCAGCAGCCGAGATCAAATGCAGACTGAGGAGAGTGTCTTTGAACGACACATCCTCGTATGAAACAATGTCATATGCTTGGGGACGACCAGAGGATACCAGAACAGTCCAGGTCAACGAGACCAGCTTCAGAATCCCAGCCAATCTCGAAGACGCGTTACGATATATACGGAGACCAGACATGTCGCTCACGATTTGGGCAGACTCCATCTGTATCAACCAGGACGACGAAAATGAAAAGACTGCGCAGGTAGCCATGATGGGCGATATATACTCCTCTTGCACGTCAGTGTATATATGGCTCGGCATACCTCAAAGCGAAGTTGGGTTACATTGCGCAGAGGAGACCCGCAATGTGGAAACGGCCATCAATCCCTTTACCCTAGCTCTGCATTTCGCCAACGACAGTCATTTGTATGAACTGCCTTGCTTCCAGCGGTCAGAATCCACAGGCCAGTGGACGTTCGTTCCGTCAGTTCTCTTCCAAAACCTCTTGTCCCTGCATATCGAAGGCTCTACACGGGCCTGGTGGTCACGTTTGTGGTGTGTACAAGAAGCCATCCTCCCTCCAAATGCTACAGTAGTGTTTGGTCGATGGAAGATTCCGCTAGCTACCCTGAAACTGACGGAACTACGACACACACAACATTTGTGGGGTTGCTGTTCTCAAGCCTCAGCGCTGTTTCCTGTGGCCAACCACTACGTGCAACGAAGTGATCGCGTTTTACAACTCTATTCCGAGGATGTCAATCGTCTGCCTGGAAACGTCTCTTCTGACTTTGACAAGGTTTTCCGGACCTTTCGATACAAGTTTTGCGAGAATCCAAAGGATCGCATTTATGGTCTGTTGGGGCTGCTTGACCCAAGCAAAGGGCCACAGATCGTGCCAGACTACACTCGTAGTGTTCATCATGTATATCTTGATGCTACGAAAGTCGCAATGATGCGTTCTGATGGGGACTTGCGCTTCCTGACTGGCTCTGGCTTCCATTCACAGAAGCATGGGCTGCCTTCCTGGGTTCGCAACTTTGCAGCTCCTATCTCCCAGGAGATCGTGTATGAGGAGATGAGACGCTACGAAGCCTACAGCTTATACAATGCGGCCGCTTCAACTCAAGCAAACCCAAAGCGCAGACACGATTTGAGCCTATCTTTGGCTGGTATCCGAGTTGACAGAATTACTGAAGTCGGCCTACCAGTCTTGGCGGATGACCGGGATGCCTTGTGGAAATTGCTGCTTAGCTGGACTGATATTGTGAGACGAGCAGACGTGCCAGGCGCTGCTGTGAGGGATGCAATCAAGAGTGGCACCTTCTGGCGCGTGATACAGGCCGATGCAATGCTTGTGGACAAGCGCAACTGCCGCAGGCTCACCTCGGAAGATGCACCGAGGACTAGCATCACAAGTGCTACCAAAGGAGTTCGAGACTTCATGGGAAGTTCTGACCAACGTATGGAAATCGAGGTAAAATCCGTCGAGGCGGCTACATACGGTCGGAGCATGTTCCGCACCGAAGCCGGACGCATAGGTCTTTGTCTGCCTGAAAGTCAGGTAGGCGATGAGATCTGGGTACTACATGGTGGGAGAGTGCCGTTTGTGCTACGCTCGGGTGGTGTATCAAATGCGAAAGACCTCCCCGAGGATATTTCACGTTTCCACAATTTCATTGGAGAAGCGTACCTTCATGGGATCATGGATGGAGAGGCGATGAGCGGAAGCAACAGTTCGGTCGAAGAGGTACTGCTGATATAGCTCTACTGCACGATAATTATCATCAAATTATAAACCGTGTATCATGCGAAAATGAACTATTCAACTGCCTAGCGACCTACTCAATCAGTCAACTCATCGTCAAATCCCGCAAACCGAAACGTGCTTCCCATAATCTCCATCCCATCCACAACCATCCTCGAAGAAACAACCTCATAAGCGTCACCCTCATACACCCTTAATGCATCTTCCTGGTCAACTGATGCGCAAGCATATGCGACACCATCCACCACGGCCCCCGACTCATCAACCAACGCTTTATACCTCCCCGCCCAAATCCTAACACGCCCGTCTAGTAAGACAGCCGGTCGCAAAGGAGGCAGCTCATCAGCAGGCACACCGAAGAGTCGTCCAAGCCTCGCCGAATCCGCCAATGTACCGTAGAAGAAGTAGAGAACCGGGAACTCAGGTAAATGCCGTTCGATAGGCCTAGCTGGAAGACTAGGACGGTGCTGCGGAAGTGTCCCATCCCTCCCGAGCAACGGTAACCCTCCAGAATCTTTGTGCGCAAGTCCAACACGGATTTTGGTGAACTTATGACCCGGACAGTTCTTCTCGACCCAAGCATCAAGAGCCTTCATTCCTGATTGGGACAGCCGACAGAAGCTCGCTTCGCCGTCTTCGCCGGTACCGCTCTCAAGTCGTGGTACGCGAGCAAGACTAAGAGCATTCGCTACATCGCGAGGTGTGGAGAAAGGGTGTTCGAGGCGGAGGAGATATGATGCCTCAACCCGGCGGCGGGGACGTTTCGGTGGTGAGGTGGTAGAAGTATACGTAGACTGAGGAGGTCTTGCTGGAACATGTGCTGGATTGAAGTCGCCGCCCAGCTCCCCAAAAGCCTGTGTAGCGGCGTCGTCTAGTTCGAGGTAGTACATGGCTGATGGGGTGATAGCGACTTGTAGGTGGATCTTGAGGTCGAGCTGATGTTGGGAGATCCAGGGAGAAGTTGAATGCGACAAAGCGAAAGGAACGGGCGGATAGTCCGCATGGCATTTGCAAACTTGAATTATGGTTGACAGTTGGGTAGCGGAAGGACAGAACCTTGGTTCGACGAGTATGAGTAGACTGTAGGCACCATCCTTAACAAGATCCATGATTGTTTGGTTCATTAACCGTTTCCATTCCATTAAGCATTACACTAGATAATAATAGTCCCTTTCTTTCCGCGGTGGTAGGCTCCGACCGAGCCCGTCATTGCCACCCATTTCCAAATCAACAGACATGACATCTGCCATGCCTTTGCCATTCATACCACAACATCATCAAAACCCCCTATATGCAGACATCCAGCCGCTCAAAAAATAGAATGCGGAAAGTGTGGCGGCCGGGCGCTGAAGCGAATGTATACAACACACAGACACAACCGTGTCGTGAAAAGTCCAAAAGGTAAGCGACCGACTTGGGTATCAAAAAAAGGGGTACAATAAACCGCGCGTTATAGCGCTACAAGGGATGCCCACGAGAAGAATGGTTGTGGTTCCCCGATGCATGCAGGGCTGCAGCGTCTCTGCTGCAGCAGCCGACGCTAGTGATTCTATGCCGTCAAATCCATGGTGTAGATAATGGATCGCTGAAATGCTTCGCAAACAAGAAAAAACTCCGCTCCAATGCATAGGTCGTTAGAGGCCGTCACCCGGGGAAGTAAGGTGATAGTGCGAAACGTAGGGATGAGTATAAGTCTGTGGCGAGAGAGATGTAGATGTGTCGTAGGTCTTAGTCCTTGCGGAGAGTGGTGGGCTCCGTGTCGGATCCGATGGTCTCGCCTTCCCAGAGGCTTTGAGAGTCATCGGTTGGTGATCGTGCGCCGATGGGACTCCTGCCACCGGTGGAGTAGGATGAAGAGGAGCCGCTAGCCCAGTCGTCCGAGTCGGAGTGGGCGTGGGATGGGAATTCCTCGTAGATGTCGAGCATGCTGTAGCCAGCACCGTCCATGGGGTCGCCGATTTCGACATAGTCGTAGTCCCAGCGGAACTCCTTGTCGGATTGCGGGCGG